GATGTAAAATTTCTTAAAGCTATCCCCTTTGAAGTGAGGAAAACGAGGAGACTTTATAATGAATTTACTCTCTTTCTACAAAAAAGGGGAATACCCTACAGATGGATATTCCCTGAAGGACTGAGTTTCAACTATGAGGACAAAAAATTAAGATTGACTCTGTTCCTAAAGCAAATAAAAAAGAAAAGAAGACAAAACTTTCTGCGGAGGAGGAAGAAGATGTCAAATAATCGTACTCACAGGATTCAGCAAGTACTAGTTCTAAATCTTCAGAGACTTCGGAATCTGAAAAGGGAACAACTGCTCCCAAACTTCAGACAAGGAAGAATCCGGCCCCACAGGAGGCAGCCAACGGCATGCCTCCTGGGGGCCGTCTTTGCCTCCTCGTGAGGAGGAATGGAGGAAGGGCTGATCGCAGCCTCAGCTCCTAAAGGGGGAGTGGAGCCAGCGCAGTCCTTTAAGGCTGGCTCCACTCTACCCCTGTCAGTTGCTCGCCTCGTGCTTGGCCCACCCACCTGTAATGTATTGGAAATCGCTTATATAATTCGCCTCATTCACTCCCCATGCAAAGCTTGAGCCGGATGAAGGCTCCACTGAACTGCATTGCCATTGGTCGCCCTCTAACAGCGACCAATCAGAAACTGTACAGTCTACAGAGAGGGAAAGACTCTCATTGGTTTTTAACTACATAATCTTATTGGTTGTTATCTGTAAATAGGCGTGGCTATGTTAGCCCGGGAATGTTTAAAAGGAGCCTAGCTCCCAATGTTAAACTTTTCTGGTTATGAATGCGTTTGAGTGCTTGTTCGTTACTTCATTAAAGCTGAATCACTTTGCTGAAATCACTCTCGAGTCTTTATTTTATTTATTTATTTATTTTGGGACTTATACCCCGCCCTACCCAACGGCTCAGGGCGGCAACAAGCGGCAAACGCCGAGGATAAAATACATTACATTAAAAGCATGATAAATAAATTAAAATTGGTGCTCTACAATACATATTAACAAAAGTTCAAGATGGACGTCTCATTTTCAGCTGATGATATCCCCGTTCTGAGGGCCCGCATGATGTTCCTTGTCAGGGCGGCATTTCTCACCTCTCCCCCCAAGGCCAGGTAGATGGACAATCAGCCACAGCGATGGTCTCGTGGCAGTGGCGGCGGCTCCTACTCAAAAGCCTGGCGGAAGAGCTCCGTCTTGCAGGCCCTGCGGAACTGTACAAGGTCCCGCAGGGCCCGGATCTCCACCGGGAGCTCATTCCACCAGGTAGGAGCCGCCACCGAAAAAGCCCTGGCCTTGGTTTGGGTGAGCTTGATGACTCGTGGGCCCGGAACCTGAAG